CATGTAAAACATTCTCCGAAAAGGATTTATCGTTATGCTTGTGTCGCCAATCCATAAATTTTTAATAGGTAATTTCGTACCTTTCTTTGGATTTTAGCCGTAACAAATTATGTTTGACAGCTTGAGCTTTTTTTAAAATATCTGGTGGAATGCTTATAATTTCATCACTTTCACTACTAACAGACATATTCGTAGGTAAAGTTAAGAAAATATTCGGATACAATATTTTGTTACAAAAATTGACAATATAAATGACATGACACTATTTTCATAGCATGCTAAGAAAACGCGACTTATTTTTTAAAAAATTGTATAATGTGTTACCTAAATTTAGGGGCATCTCTCTTTTAATCCAAAATTTATCTCGCTAATGCTTAAACTTTTTATGTTTTTAAATTGACTATATTTATGTAAATAGACTAAATAAAGTCGTACGTAGATACAAATTTGATTGCAATTTGATTAAACTAAGAAATTTAAGTTTTCTCATCAAAACGCACGTGTATGTTATGAGATCTAATTACGTGTATGTTATAGTTAAATATCATTTTCAAGGAATGTTGACAGTGCGATTTTTAACGTTTACTGACATGGGAGTAGAAAAAAAAAAGTTAAAGGGGAAGATGTTAGATAGTGTACCTAGTTAATACTAGGTATTTATGAATTATACAAATCAAAATGCTACATTCTTTTGTTATAAGAAGTTTTGTATCAAAAAGTATTCACTAAGGACACCTGTGGCACTAAAAACGGGACACTCAATATTAGAAAAATTTAAATTACAATACAATGGATAATCTTGTCTTTTTTCAAACTGAAATTGCGAACGCTATGAATAACCAACAAGATGCCATTGCAGTAATTTTGGATATAAAAAGTGCCTACGATACCATACCGAGAGACCCATTATCCTTAATAAACTTAAAGATTGTGGAATATCTGGTAATATGGCTAATTTTATAAGTAATTTCCCATCTGACAGAACCTTTGGGGTAACTGTAAACGGAACCAGATCTTGCTCATACACTATTGAGAATGGAGTGCCTCAGGGTTCAGTTTTGAGTCCCACCTTATTTCTTCAAGCTATTAATGATATTTGTTCCTTTATCCAACAACCAGTTAAATGTGCTTCATATGTAGATGATCTTGTTCTCCTCTGCCATGGTAAGAATACAGCCAGTACTTCCACGTTACTTCAAAATGATGTGAACAAGCTTAGCTTCTGGGCTAGAAGTATAGGTTTTAGTTTTTAAACATCCAAATCAAAAGTTATAAAGTTCAGTAGAAGATACAATAGTGTATCTCAATCCCTCATATAAATCTCGATGGTGTTGTACTAAACACTGTTACTTGTAACAAATTTCTTGGCGTCATCTTTGATAGCAAGCTCACTTTTAAGCGGCACATACAAGAAACCAAAGGTGTCTGTCTTAAACGTTTGAATATTTTAAAAACTTTATCTCACTATTATTGGGGGGCGGAGAAGGAATCACTACTAAGAATTTATAGAGCATTAATCCGATCTAAATTAGATTATCGAAGCCCTGTTTTTATATCTGCATCCAAAACATATTTACGCATCTTAAACACTATTTATAACTCTGCCCTGCGACTGTGTCTTGGAGCTTTTATATCCAGTCCAGTGAACAGCCTGTATTGCGAATCCCACGAACTTCCTTTACATTTCCGCTATCAACTTAATTTACTTTCTTATTATACCAGAGGGTCTTCAAACTCAGATAAGCCAGTATATAAACTTCTTAATCATTCATTAAACACTAATGCAAACTCTTCAAAAATTTCTCAACCTGTTCTGCACATCTTAAAGCCTCTTTTAAATAATATCGACTTGTCTAACACCACTTCTATCTCTTTTTCTCGTGGACATTTCATTATCCAAATACAGTAAAGAAAATACTCCCAGTGTACTTTATAAACAATATTTTAGACAAATTATTAATACAAATGATTTCAATTTTATTTTATTTACGGATGCTTCCAAAAATGAAAATGGAGTAGGTGGCTCAGTAACAACCGCTGAAGCATTACAGGCAAAATTCAGACTCCCAATCAACTGCAGCATTCATTCAGGAGAACTTTTTAGTATCTGAAAAGCTCTGAAGTTACCAATTGAAGAACGTCAGAAGGTGGCCATCTGCACTGATTCCCTGTCATCAATTCAATCTATCCAGGACATTTTTTCTCAACATCCACTAGTTCAAGATATTCATGAATCTCATCAAACATTATTTAAAAATGAAATCTGTGTTTTAATTATTTGTGTCCCTTCACACGAGGATATTGAAGGCAATGAGATAGCCGACCATTACGCCAAAAAAGCCATTACAAGTAACATACCTTTAGAAAACATTCAATTATTTAAAGATGTAATAGGCTCTTTTAAAAAATCAATTTGGAATAAGTGGTCAGAATGCTGGACAGGATCCAATACCAAATTATATGCAATCAAACTCAATGTCACCTCCTTTAAATTTTCAGCTAATAATAGAAAAAAAAAAATTTTGATACGAAGATTACGGATAGGTCATAGGCCATGGCTACTTAATGGCATCGGATAATCCACCGTTCTACCAATATTGCGATAATACCAATCTTAGTATAAGTCACATACTGGTAGACTGTCCACAATATGCAGAAGCCCGCAAAAGCCATGTATTGGGAAACTCTTTGAAAGATATCCTTGGAGTCCTTGAACAGTATCCAACTTTCTGCAGCATACCAACCTGTATAATTTATTTTAATTTTCAGAAAGTATATTATGTATATACTAAATTATAGTTTATTATATTTCATTGTATCGTATCAATAACCATAGCTGTTGAGACGCGTTAATTGTTAAATAAAAAAAAATATTATTATTGTTACATATTATTTTCCTTAAATAAGTACCTACGTTCCTTTTCATATTCCTTTCCATTTTCTTTTCACCGTTGTTTTTGCAAAAAATCAACAGATGTCCAGGCGCAAAAATTTCATTAAATATCCTGCAAAATTCGAAGTAATTTTTCACCGTCGCTGCTCCACCCTTACAAGAAGCAACTTCCATCCTTTCCTTCTCCTAACTTCCATTTGAGTAACACATTATGAAATGAGAGTAATTAAGGAATTCTTCCCTTAAATTACTGCGGGGATAGCAATCATTCCGTAAATCTACTCGAAGAAGTTAATGAGCGCGAAAAAGGCCAGAGAAACTATAACGTCACATAACGAAGAAATATTGCCGAATCATTATTTTCAAAGGAATATTTGCTTTATGAAGGTATAAGTGAAAAGAAAATGTTGAAACGTTTAGAACCCGACATCAAAGTAGATAATTATTTTTTGAATTATTTGTAGAAAATGCACAGACGTTCTATAAAAATAATAAATAAGCTGTTTTAAGAAGCGAGTTGTTTTTAAATTCGTGACAAGATCAGAAATATATAAATATGGAAATTTGGCTAAATGTTCAAGCAATACAAAATACTCTCTCGAAACGGTATTTGGATTATTAAAAATATTAAAAAATTTATATACCAAAATAAATAAACGACACAAAACACTTCTTGGTTTTCTGTTCTTTCTTGTTTTTCTTTGGTCTACTTTGCTCCTCCCTGATGTATTTTATGTATCCAATAGAATATTAAAAATGTCTCACAATCTACTTTAAAATACCTCTTGACAATCTTAAAATCGCATCTGACATTCCTCAATATATCCATGATATCGTTAAACTTTATTAATATTTTACATTCCTGACAAAGATCAGAAAAAAAATTGAGATGAAATAAAGAGGAGATGCTATGATGATGCTTTGGATAATGCTAAATTTTTCGCACTATGAAGTTCGCACCTCTGCATTATACTTTAACGTCAATGTCAAACTCGAGATAGTTTTGGTGGAAATAAATGCCATTTTTTTAAATAGCTTTATTTAAATGATATTAACTCATTTTTATTCCGTAAGGCTTCACATGTAAAATTAATGGACACGTTCAACCGACGCAACAGTTGAGTATGGTGACTTGTTGGGTCTTCTGAACAGCACTTGTTGAGTTTTGGTTAGTTTCAATCGTTCCTCAACATCGGAACCTGGAAAATTCTATGATGACTTTTGTAAACGAAGTATTGTACCCAGTCTAGCCAACTTAAGGAAGTTTTAATTTAGGGATTTCTAGTGATTTTTTATTGAGTTTTCACCACTATAGGTTGATAAAGCTGATTATTTGTTATTTTAACCTCACATTTTTCAATTTTGAACTTGAATTATGGTGTATACCTGTTGTTTTTTTAAATTTTAGATTTAAACAATGATGAAAAATGTCCGTTATGACTGATTATGACTTTAGTATATTTTTATATGACCTTACTTTGTGACCGAAAATGATTTTATTTGTATCACCATTAGGGTAAACCAACCAGTCATTGGCCATTCGCTGTGCTGTTAACGTTTAAGTGCTTAGTATATTTTATCCAATTTATAAAATGTATTGTCATTCAAATATTTTAGTCATATAAGTATTCCAGATTATAAAAAGATACGATTTTATTTATATTTTCCAATAAATGTATTTAATAAATTATATTCATAAGCAACCACCACATACCAGTGATTGGCATTAGTTATTGTGTCATTGGCCTAGACCTTAAGCAGTTATTGGCCTCCTTTTTGATATAGTATTTAACGGCCATGTACACCAACTTTCTTAAGGGCCCGACCGAACTTTAAGTCGGGAAATTTTCTTGATACCATTAACCAACAGTTTCCATTAATCAATGAACATTTGGCAGCTTGAGTGCTACTTATCAGTGTTTATGCTCCTTAAAAAGGTAGATAAGAACTAGTCAACGACGTCTTGAAACCAACATAAGGAAGGTGTTTAAATCAAAAGTTCAATAAAACACAGACATGTTTATTAAACAAAATAAAAAGAGAAAGAAGATGTAACCTTTTACAAGAAAATAAAATATTAAAAAATAAAACATATTACTCGAGATCATTAGTTTTTACATTGATATTTCAGTAAGCAGGTTATGCAAGTGAATATGTTAGAATTTGATTTATGTAATTGTAGTCTTTTAATGCAGGAACCATGGTAAACTCTCTGACATGACTGACATTTTACTCCATAATTTTGGGAAGTCAAATTAGCTGTACAAGAAAAACACAGTCCTTTGGAAATTATTTGATTTTTGAATTCTAACGAAGTCTCTCGTTTAGAATGATCGTTCGGAAACAGCGACTTTTTGACTTTTTCCACTGCATAATCGCTTAATAATTCTTGATGAATGTCTTCATCTGATTTGTCATTAATTTCAATAGACGATCTTACAGAAGCCAAATTAAAACCTGGCATCTCACATTCCATTTGGTATGCATTTTTCCCCTCTTTTATTCCTCCGGTATCCCACCCTCTTAGATTGCTATAAAATTCTGTATCTTTTCGTTGCTTCTTTCTAATGATCTATTTTTATTTTGAGGAGAATAAACTGCGCTTTCAACCTCACTGACTTTAAAATTAATATTTTGCTGCAAATTTACATTAACCTGCATTTCTTCTTGGAGATCATTTTCTTTATTTTCAGTTTTTTTAGTCGGAATTTTCAAGTCAGTCTTTTGTTTTTTGGATTTTATAATCAGTCTCGAGTTCTTTGTTGGTTGATTTTGCTTCTTTTTGAAATCTTTTTGACCATATTAACTTTTTCACTTTGTTTCTGAAGTCTTAATTTCTTTCTTCTTTTTCAAGGTTTTTCTTTTTTTTAACTTCTTCTTTTTTCGCTTTTCGTTCAAGCCACTGAGTAGATGTTAGAGCAAATGTTAGTTTCTCAGTTTCTTTTTTGCCTTTTCTGGTGGAAGTTTTTGCATACCATAGACTTTCCTCTAAACTTTGTAGATAATTCTGGGCTATCACCTCGGATTCACTTCTAGTCAATTCTATTGTTTCTTGTTTATTGCTGTCATCTATAGGGGATACCCTTTCTGTTTCTGGTATCTCATCTATTAGTGCTCCAGTCTCCAATAAAATCTGAGATTCATTATTTTCTGTCGAGTAAAGGTTGTATCTGTGAAATTTGGTTTTCTTCGTTAACAAACAAAATAGGTATTTCATTAATATTAATGTCATCCAATATAAAGTTATTTGCCTCATTTTCTGGGGATTCTTTTTGAAAGGTATCTAGTATATCAGACCTAGGCGAATTCTTTGATTCATCTGGTCCGATCGATTTTGGCAAAATTTTTTTCCATAATTTAAAAAGAACAGCCTGATTATGATCAATCTCCCCGTCATTTCTAGCTTTAAATTCCTTTATCATATCACTTCCTACTACGTCTACAAAGTCGGTATAACTTAAAAATGTATCTTGTTTGGATTATGTAGTCTCATTTTCAATAGAGTTTGATTTTCTGCCACCTAAACACTTGGAAAAGTCTATTGCGTTAGAATTCCATGGATAAAGTCCACTTGCTCTGAATCCATTTTTAATTGTTTCAGCGTTGGCAGTTTGGTCTACTGCACCTTTTAAAATTAGTGCAAAGTTTTCCTTCGTTAACGTTTCCAAGGGATGATTTCGCCTCCAATCTACCACTGCCCTTTTCCACCTATTTTTATGGGCTTAAAAGCTGCAACGTCAGCTGATTGCATAATTCTTGTGGCATTTGGATACAAGCATACTAAAATAATTTGCAGTATTACACACAAACAACTAAGCTCATAAGTAACGTGGGTGCTATGTCCGTCTAAGAATAGAATAACCGGAAAAGTGATGCTCATTTTCTGGAAACTTGGATGTAGTACATTTTTAACATGATTACTTCTGATTTCATCCAACCTGTGTCCGAAAAACCTACACCCCATCCTGTTGGAATAGATTTAGCTACTTTCAAAGGCAATCTTTTATATGGATAAACAACCATAGGTGGTGTAACTTTACCTGACGCTGTAAAAGTAAACATCACCGTTAAAGTTGTTTTAGAAGAAGCATGCTCAATTTCGTAAACATTCTTTGCTCCTTTGGGTGCCAAGACTTTTGTATTTTTTGGACACAGATTAAAACATGTTTCGTCAGCGTTAAGGATACGATCTGGATTTTCAAGAATAGATAACCACCCTTTTGACTCAAGATATTTCTCAATGCCCTCAAACCATTTTTTTATATCTCTTTCTGAAACATTCGCACTGGCGGCAGTTACTGCCTCACCTGTTCTTTCACAAATTTCTCTATTTCTTCTCAGAAAAGCTTTATACCAAACTTCGCCTGGACGGTTGTTTATAAATGGGTTTTTTTCTCGGATTTTTATCCAGAAATTCTTTTACCGATTCTTGAATATCTTCCTTTCGTCGAGGAAATCCCCGTTTCTGATTTTCAACAATCCAGTTCACCAGCAATTTTTCTTCATCTTGGGTAAGCATAGGATTGGGACCCAAACTGGTTTTAACAAATTTTTAACTTCTAAATTGAGGTGTTGCCCTTGGGATTTTAAAACGCCTTGCAGCTTCTCGTATTGGCAGCCCATTTTTGATTGCTTGGAGAGCTTCTTGAATTTGGTTTTCATCATATTTTTTGCTGTATTTCTCACCAAGAAACTTTTTTGGCATTGCAATGACCTGAAATTTAAAAAAAAAATCAGTCATTGGCCACACTCAAATTTATTAATTGGCCCCCGGCCAACTAATGGTTACAGCGCAATATCTACTAACATGCTTGAACAAAAGTGTCTAACTACATATAGAGATGAAACTCTAAACAAAAAAAATGTAATTTTGATCCCTATGCAAAATAATTAGTGATTGGCCCTGTGGCCAATCAATGATTTATATAGGATAAATAGTAACTCATTGGCCTATCAAAAGTTTGCTTTAAAATTGTTTAAAATACGTAAAAAGTTATTATTTTATTAAAATAAAGTGTTTGAAAGGCAACTCAAGCAAAGTTTGAAAGCAAATGTAAGGAAAAAGAGAAGAACTACTTAGTATGCACACCTTCTTATGAAATCACTCAACACGTCTGTCTGCCAAGACCATCACTCTGTGACTGAATTACTAAAAAAGTAGTGGGGTCGAAGCTCAAACAATTACACAAAGGGAGTCAGAGATGTAGCCATATTGTATTCTATTAATATACATTGTAATTTTGCGAGGGAATTGTAAATAATGGAGTTTTTAACTTTCAGGCCAATCACTGCTTATCAAATAATAAATGGCCAACGATTGGGTAGTTTACCCTAGAGGTCACCACGTGTATGTGTATTGTCTAATCGCTGAACCAACTTATACCGTTCAGGTACTTTTAATTGTTGACTTCCATCATATCAGAAACATGTTTTCGATTTGAATCAAATGTTGCGTCGGCTGAACGCGCCCATTGACTTTAAATAAATCATAGTACGACTCAAGTCGCCATTTTCATTACACTTTTCCGTCACTTGAAGTGCATCCATCTGTCGTCTCTACTTTATTCTGTCTCGATGAGAGAAATACACCACAGCATTGATCGCATCCTCTAAGCAACCCAAATGTTAACTAAAGTTACACGTTGTAGGAGCTTGTTGATATTAGTTAGTTGTTATGGATATATGATGTTTTTTTTTTTAATTTGGTGTCATCGGCATCGACTACTAAGGCCATTAGCCTCGTGGTCTGTGTAGGCTTTGCAACTATTTATCAGCGCCACTTTAGGAACAGCACTCTTAATTAATTATAAGATCAAACGAACTTACCTGAAGTAAAGTTCGATCCTAATTATATGATGCCTCGTCGAAGTAAATAAGATATATTTTCGCCCCATGTATATGCTTCGATTCGACCACATAGTTGAAAGCATATACAGGGGGCGACAATATATCTTATTTACGAGACGAGGTAGAAATATAATTAGAACCCAACAGTGAATGGTCATGTATTTGGGAAAAGGAAGATTGTCAAGACGGAGTTCTAAGTTGCCAAAAATAAATATTAATACGATACACAAATACCGGTATGTTCCTGCGCATGCCAGCTATTACAAAATTTCCTCAGCCCACCCCTTTTCGAGATATCACCCTTAAAAGGTGGTGACTAAAATTGAGTTTTTATTTTTTTTATAAAATTTCAGTAAAGCTAGAAACTTGAAATTCTGTAATTTTCGTGCACTCGCTAAGGACTAACCACGGGTATTTTTTCAATATTCCTGTTACATCCCCCATTATAGGGGGATGAAATTAGCAATACTTACTTTATTTCATATCAAAACTTTTTTTCGAGATGAACCCCCTTACTAACAAAAAAAGAATCATATAAATCGGACAAGGTGGTAAAGAATTATCGCTAAACATACATAAAAATGAAGAGTTTGAGGATTTTCTCATGGGCTTATTAGATTTTGACCAAATTTATATGGAACCACCCCTGAAGTATCCCCTTTCTAACAAAAAAAAATCATTGAATTCGGACACCGTGTTATCGGCTGCAGCATTATCGCTGAACATACATAAAAAAAAATAAAAAAATATTGCAACGAATTGAGAACCTCCTCCTTTTTTGAAGTCAGTTAAAAATATGAGTAAAAGTTTATATAAACATAGGTCCGAAAACGTTTCGTTTTCGAGATACAGGGTGTTACAAGTGAAGTCCAGATGGCACATTTTTGTAGATATTTTCTAAAATTTCTTTAGTTACCGGTTTTCCAAAGTTAAAAAAAAATAAATTAAATTTCTGATTCCACAGACCTACTAATTATTGTTTACACTTTCGAATGAGGTAACATGCTTTTCTCTTGAAAATGGCGCGTCCTAGCGAGATGTAACAAATGTAGCTTTATTATACAGAAAATATTAAAATTTTATAGTCAAAAATGTTAAAAACTATCAACAAAAAAAACTTTTACCCTAAGCTCCCCCTAATTTACCCATCTAAGAAGATGATCAAAAACTGGGGTTTAGTCCAATAAATGGAGCGTGAAAAGGTAAGTATTTGTACCAAATTTTACCTAATTATCTTTAAACGTTTAGAAAATATTTACAAAAGTGTGGTATCAGGACTTCACCTTTAACACCCTGTATCTCGAAAAAGAAAAGTTTTCGGACCTATGTTTACATGAATTTTTACTACTATTTTAGGATGTAGATTACGCTGTTAAAATATGACCGTCTAATTTCGGAACACCCTGTATATCATCTATAACTATCAATAAATAAAAAATATTTGAGTTGTTTGGTTTAAAAATAGTATTCCTACATTCCTATAATATTAACAAGCCACTAAACCCCCCGTAGGGGGCGATAGCCAACGAATTACTTCGCCAATTACTGACATACCTGTGTTCATGTAATCGGACCTACACAATACGATTACCTACCCAATATGATTATTCTTTAGCGCACGACACACAACATTGGCATATTTATGTAGCGAACAAGGTTACAAATACTTTAAGGGGATGTCGTTAGATCCGTGCGGTGTGACGTCAGAAGGGACTGGATTGCTCTTAGAGTTTTAATGTTAGATCAGTAACTACTGTTATTATTTTATTGAACCCCAATTTTGTCATTGTAAATGTTTTTTATAGGATCCTAAACGCTTAGAACAGTGGCAGCATATATATCGTTCCAACATCCGATAAAGTACTTTTTAGAGATGATATTGTTCTATACTTTTTAGAAGATATTATCAAATAATATTAAACTATTTTTTACTGATGGTACTGTTAGCAAAATAAAATGGGGAAAGCTGAAATTAAAGGATGAGTTAATACCACGTACATTTCCAAATCTCCCTTTATACTTGTATTACAACAATAAAGAATCTTTTAACTGTGTTTTATTTTGCTCTTAAAACTATATATAGGTTCAGTTCAAACAAATTTTGCCACAAAATTGTACTTTTTAAATTTCAGAATTTAACAAACCTTTTCAACCTCCTAATTTGTATTTTATATAGATAAACCTAAATAATTTAGTAATTAAAACATACAAGACTTATTTAGAAATAAATTCAACAGTATGTTCTGTGCTTTATTTAGCTATAAACAAGTTTATTTTTATTATTTTGACAAAATTATGTATAATTCCCATAAGAAGCAATGTATTTTGAACACCGTATATAGTACCAGCGCCCATGCGGTTAATTATAAAAGCACAATTAGCGTGCGTTTTTTAGGACCCTATTTTAAAAATGCCGATTCGCCTCATTATCTCTATTCTTCATAAGCTTGACCAATAACTCGTTACGGTTTGATCAATCAATCATTCACCACGGCGATTCGGGCATCCCGTGTTATCTTCTATTGATTATTGAAGGTTAGCTATATCGTGGAAATAAAGGGTGCCATAATCACCTTTTCGATTTCGGATCAATCAAGAAAGGCCAGACACGGCTCTGGGAAAAACAAAACAAATAGCATGGGCAAAATATTAAAGTATATCAACAAATATATTCAATAAAAATAACTCTTCTGGCCTTTATCTTGTTTTGGCAGAAACACTATTAGGAATCGGACTGAAAACATTTAGCAAAAATAGGATATATCTCTTATTTGGTTTTGGTAGAGACACTATTAACAGCTGAATACAATGTTATGATTACATTTCTATGTTAATGCTACTCACCTTGTTTGTGCATATTATGGAGCTATCTTGTTCTTACAGAAACGTGGGGTCAAAACGTTTATTTAAGAACTAGCGTGATATTTAGTGCAGCGACCGATGAATGTTTTCGCGCATTTTGCTAAAAATTTTAGTTTTAAAAAGCACCTTCTTAATAATAGTGTTTCGGGCCGCAAGAAAAGCTTAGAGAGCCACCACATGCGGCCCGCAGGCCGCAGGTTGAGTATGGTTGTTGTAGACCATTCTTGTGTGAAATTCAGGGAGTGATGAGATGAAACAAGTAGTTACAGAATTGGTAGGGATTTATTAAGACGAAATTTGCATGCTATAGTATTCGTAACCAAAACTATTCATTAACTAGGTTGGCGATAGATGGCGATTAGATGCACTTCTGCGTTCAATTTTTCTTAGAAAACGTTTGCTTGGTTGCCAGATTTTGTAGGTCAAGTTATTTTTATTTTACCGACGGACAGTATTTTAAACAGAGCAAACTAGTTGGACAAAAGTCATTAGTGAATTCTAAAAAAAATTATTATATAAATTAACAAACAACACTCTGATAGTTACGAATTGTTGCACCGTATTTAATCAAAATCTTACATGTAAAAAAAAGATAAGAGCATTATTTTATTTCTTGTTGTACTTTTCTTGTAACCATGCACAACTTTTTTAGAAGAATAAGTTTTTCCTAAAATTATTAATAAAAGGTTTATTTTTCATAAAAAGGTCTTCATGATATAAAAACCAAAATTCAAACATCTGATACCAAATTTTATTATTGGTACACGAGGTTTGTCAAAAATTAAAGATTTTATATTCTTGAATATAATTTATATTTTTTAAGGCGCATTCTACACGGATTAAAACAAATTAATATCTGTTGGTTGCATTTTAGATTTTAGACCATGCAGAACTTTTTTTCGTAAAATTTATAATAAAAAAGTTTGCCATATGGTGCCGACTTAATTGAACATACTGTATAATAAGCCTTAATTAGACTTTTACTGTACAAAATGTTTATAACATAAGTAGATACAATCCTTTCTTGTAGTCAGAAAATGCCACTAAATATTTTTGTTCATCTGGGCCGTATTTAACTAATTTTATATTAAGTGGTAATATAACTTTTATAATGGAAGCATATAATGTCCTTTATTTCTTTTAAACATGACACAATATTAATGATATATAAATTTGGTATGTTTCTTCCATAGGAGCCGCCAGGAAGTGGCAAAATCTGGCAAGGTCTTCGCACTTTCCTTATAAAGAAATGATACTCGGTTTAAATTTAATTTTTAAATTTTTAAAGGAAGACGTCTTTGGAGCCAACTCCATCTTATGGCTAGTTTTTGATATACACCGTGCACATTGCCTATTTTTAAAAAGGCTACTCTTCTCAACAAAGTACCCACTTTGAAAATACTAAAGTTCCGTTCTAACAACGATCTGAAACCAGTCACTGACACCAGAATTCTGCGCAGTAGATTATTGGGACCACCACCTTATCTACTTGCAGAATCCTGGTGTCAGTGACTGGGTTGTGATAGTTGTTGGAACAGACCTTAAATTATATGTAATTACATCTCTTTATACAAAAAATACAAGAAGAAAATTTACTTCTCTTAAATATTCAGAAAACTTCTAATAACCATTTTTTTCTTTGTCTACACTATAAAATTGTAAAGTATTGTAAACGGACAATGAATACTTTTTCAATGGAAGAACCACAACAAAATGCAATATAAAAACTAGTTTAGATGTACTTGTACGCAACTCCAGTATGCATTTATAATAATTGCAGAAATAGGAACCTATACAGGGTGTTTCGTAATGATTTTCCTGTATTTTAAAATCATATTCTACCAATAGGTTAAAGAAATGTTTTTTTATAAAATTTTGCAATAAGATTGTCCTGAAATAACCTCCTAATACCTTATTACGATATTTAACAAAAGTCTAAGACAGATCTAAAGCTGAATCTATTGTCAATTTTAAGAGTTTATAAGACAAAACCAATGTAAATTAAGGATTTTTTATCATTAGTAATGTTAGCATAATCTTATTACTAAAAAATTCGAATTGAATAAATTCAGTTTTTGTTTCATACTAAAAAAATATTTGAAATTTGAATCAAAATCGGGGCGCTTAAAAATTTAGTATTGTGTGTGCTATATAATTTAGTACGAGACCTAGCAACGTTTCCGAGAAAGAGGTTTAGGTCGATTGGTCTTTTGATATTTATTTTCTTATTGAAGCTTGGTAGGTATACGGCACATCTGGCTGCTGTGAGTGGTTGCGTTTTCTTCTGCGCATCCTATTTGTACAGATACACATTACGTATTTTCAAATCATTTTAGGTCTATTTCTTTTTTATTAATAATTTTCTATATCTTTTCACAAATATAAATGTAATGTGCCATACAGTTTCGATGTTGCTAACTCCGTGCCAGATGCCATTTTTTTAATAAAAAAAAAACAAAATTTCAAACCATTTTAGTATAGCTGAAATTTTAATATGATATAGTGATGCTATTAAAGAATCTAAAATTAATTTGCCTTACAGATATTCTGTTGTTTAATTAGAGCCAGACCGATTTAAGTCTCGAAAATATAGGAAAGTGCAGTAAGTGTATTAACACCCCATTATCAACATAACATAACATAAGTTGAGTCGGTTCTGCGAGAGATATAACTGCGACAGGAAGCGTCAGGAGAGAGAGAGATAGAAAAATATATGAAATAAGTTATTACTTAAAGATTAGAATTTAATCACAGAAAGAATAAAATTAAATGAAAAATTTAATAACACATGGTATTTGCAAAATAAAAACTCAATTTTAAATATTTTCTCAATCACAAATTATAATTAAATATATTTATTTTATTATGGTGTAATATTAAAATAAAGCATCTTCAAGGTCATCATCATCGTCACTACTTTCATTGTGATTATTGCTTTCATCACTGTCAGAGTTGTCTTCAGGTATATCGTTGTTTTCTAAAACTTGACTATCTGTTAAGAAAAATACTAATTAAATTAAGGAATGTAAGTAAGTTGTTACGTGTTTGGTAATTTTTTTTATTAATATTTACCTTGAACTATAATATCAGCAACTAATGATGGTAATTGGTCTTTCAGGAACCAAACAAAGTCATATTTGTTGTCGTTCATTGTCCAACGGTAAGCTAGTGGTGATAACGACGTGGTGTATTTTAAGTAAGTATTTCTCCAAAACTTTGTCACATAGCGAACTCGTAATAAATGTTGTTGTAATTCAACTTTACAAGGAGGTAGGCTTGATGAATTAAAATTCTTACATTTTTTTTCGAAGAAGTCGTTGAAATTTTTGGATCGATAAGTAGTAGAAAATAAGTGAAATCTAATTCCATACATGTGACAAACAAATTTCTCTAAGGTGGCAAATGCATCCTTCAGTAGTTCTTCGTCATAGGTAGCAAGATTTTGGAATGCTAATTGATAATCTACCGATTCTTTCAATAATTTGAAAGGCTTGAGTTTGCCTTTACGAAAAAATAGAGGTGTGTAATTACATCCAGTCATTGCGTGAAAACCTGGTAGAGCTTTAGATAGGGTACTACTCAGAATATTAAACATATCATTGATGTTTACATATCGTTGATGATTTCCAACGCCCATGTTAATCCAAAGTTTTAGGGAAGCACTTAAACGGTCCATATTTCCAAGAAGTATGAGTAAAATATCAGAGGCCGAACACCTTATAACAACGTCAGCTTCAAAATAAATTTGGCAAATGTGATATATAATCCTAGAATATGCTTCTTCGTCTTCTTCACGTGATAATAAATCATCTTTGGTCATAATTATCTTATTATCTTCAACCTGATAGCAGTAACACTCCCTTAAACTTAAGTAAATTGTTTTATTGCCAATAAAAGGTGCCATGTCGTCAGTAGACCAGTTTTTAAAAAAAATTTAACTAGATCTTCCTTGAATTGAATATTTTTGAGCTGAGCAGTATAGTTATGAGGTCGTATTTGATTAGATCCAATCGAAACTGGGCTGGCCGATTCATCCCTACGTGTACGCTTAGAATCTTTAATTGAGGGTGTAAAATATTGATCAAATATATTGTCAATGCGACTTGCTTTAAATTGAGTTATTGTACTGAGGACCTTATTAGATAACCCATTAAAAGTTTGAGGTATTTCTTTCATGAAGAAGCCATCTAGTATAGCTATGTCGAAACACAGCGGATGCTTATTGATATTGTCTTCCATTGTTTTCTCGATTATTGCGACAAACTGTGCTTTATCTGTTTTGCAAATAGTTCCATCAGCATAACACTTGGATGTTGGCAAAGACGTAAGTGGGAATGAAAGTACTTTTTCAATATCAACCTTATGGCTTAGAGATATCCCCAACATTCGATCAAATATGTCTCTTTGCATTCTTAATTCAACGACTTTATTACCAAGAGTGAGTTTTTTTGTTTTCGGTGCAGCAGCAAAGTTAAGAATTCGATTTTTTTTAAAGGTTTGCCAAATCTCTCTTTATTATCAGCACATTCGTTAATGAACTGTTTTCTTAAAATGTCGCCATTCTTTTGAATATTTAGTAAACATTTAACAACACCTGCAGTAGTAGGCTTGGCAGTAGCGATATTATAAAAATTATCTCGATCTAAACTTGAATCGAATGGATTAAAATTTTTCTCAAGTTTGTTACTTGTTTTGCATACATTTTTATTCTACTAGGTTTTAAATATGCAGTAACGTCTTGATATTGTTTTAACCCACCAACATCAAGAACATGAGAAATTAACGCAGCTCTAATGCTGTGTTTTTTTGTCCAGCGTTGACGTGCTGCTATAGAGTTAGTAAAATGTGAAATTCCACTTAATCGTCTAGCTGCATCAGCATTAATAGTTTGCTCCAATGTAAGATTTATTGGTATTCTTGAAAAATACTTTTTGGTTCTTTTAATTCCAAAGAAACATTTCTTAAAATCATCTTCAAGTCCTGAGTGCGTTTCGTAATGCTAATTCACATAAATGATAGTAAAAAACACTCCCACCTGCAGATTTCATAGCATTGATTTTTTTTTAACAGTTTATCATGATCTTATATTATTATTCATTCAATTATTTTTTCATATAGTATTTCATCTTTTGAAGAATGTAAAGTTTGCTGTTTTCCTTTAACTTGCTTTCGGTCTTTTTCGCAAAAAAAGCATACACTTTTAAGGTTATCACTTCTTTCTGTGGCACTTTCATTTTCCAACTCTGGAATTTTATAAAAGAAGTCAATTGCTTAATCAGTTGAAAATGTATATAGATTGCTATTATCAACTATTGGAGTAATATTTTCTTGAGTAGTATAACAAATAATAATTGGAGAATTTGAAAATGTTAGACAAGATGTACTCGGAGAATGTAAAACTGCTATAACACTGTCTATAGTATCCATCAGTATTATTAACACTGTCTGATAGCCTAAAATTTTTATATTTTAAATTGAATATAAAATGTCCACACACTTATTCAGTTTTTCAGTAGTAAATATGATTATTTTTCCAGTTTTCTCTTCACAAAAAAACACATTTTTCTTTTCCGTTACTCATCACGATGAAATTTGGCATTACCCTTTAATGAACACAACTAATAACACACAAACATTGAGATACATGGACAACGCCATCATAAAAAGTGTCTGACAGCACTCTTCTACATTGCCTACTATCTCCGAGACTCAAATCGGTTCGGCTTCTTATTATACAACTGAATTTATGTATGGAAAATTAATTTTAAGTTCTTTGATAGCATGACTATATCATATTAAAATTACAGCTATACTAAAATTTGAAAAAATATTTTTTTTATTTACTAAAATAGCATGTGGCACGGAGTTAGCAACGACAAAAATGTATGGTACTTTATATTTTGAATGCTAGAAGGATATAGAAAATTACGGAAAAAAAAAAAGAAATCGCCCTAAAATGATTTGAAAATACGTATTTTGTACCTGTACAAATAGGATGCGCAGAAGAAAACGCAGCCAGATGTAGCGTATCCCAACCAAGCTTCAATAAGAAAAGAAATATCAAAAGACCAGCCGATCTAAAATACTTTTTTTCGTGACGTTTCCAGCTCTAATACTAATTGTAATTGTTGCTATTGTGGGTCATACATTATGTCTTAACCACGTTATAGATATTTCTTAGGTAGATACCATACCATTTTTCTATTATCGCCTTGAATTTACCTTTTATGACAAACATTAAAAAAAGAAATGTTACTGATTTTGATATGCAACATAACCTCAACATTTAAAATTTATAAAACAGTTATAAATGTGTAAAAACATTTGTTTAAAGTCCATGTAAATGTATAGTAACTGTCCGGTGACTGTCTTCAACAAATCTTGTACAATTTACAAATTAACCAAATCGTTTTGTAATACTGCGCCCATTTTTTGTTTATTACTGTTGAAAGAATATTTCGGAAATGTTCTTAGCTAATAAATTTTGTTCTGTAAACATTTTTTCAGCTTTTATAAAATATAAAATTGTTACTTGGGATCTGACGAACTAAGAGAAGCCTCATCGATTTTCGATGATACAAAATGTTCCTAGCGAGGTCTAAGTACTGTCGGTTCGTAGAAAATACGGTGGTATCGTTCGGTTGCTAGGGACGAAGGTGTGACGTCATAAGAGAAAAAATCGAGTTCACAGAAAATATTCTGCTTGTTCATAAGTTTTTTTTTAAATTATTACATTATTACATAAAAACATTAATTTTATCAAATAAGAATAAAATATTAGATTTTTTAAAACACCTAAGTAGAATATTTTCTGTTAACTGGCTTTTTTGTACGGTGATGTCATCTATCCTTAGCAACGCGGATGAGGCCACCGTAGTCTCTACGAACTAAGAAAGAAACCTACCCTCCCAACTTTATCTGTACAGAATTATAGATAGTGTTCCATTTAAAATAATACTGGGTTTTCGTTTAATTTTATCAATTTTATTAAATTATTAATTATTAAATTATCAATTTTAATAAATTATTCGACAAAATACACGAAAACGTTAAAAAAAAATTATTCAATGGAGGTATTTAGTGAAAATCTAAATGTTTTACAGAAAAATAAGCTTCGCAGTTACTTTTAAAATCTATCGCACTTATTGTTTTTTAGAAATTACATACACATATACGAATCACAAAATTTCATACCAATATGACAAAAGTTATGTTGCTTATATCACTCGATGTCATCTCCGTCTAGAGCTAGACAGTATTTATATTTGTAAATACTTTTTCAAAATATTGTTACGCAGCACCCTGTATCGTACGAGTAAATGAAGAAGATAGAATATTCCCGAAATGTCTCGAAATGTCATTCTTTGTCAAAGAAAATTTCAGATTGTTCGAGAAGGTTTTAGAAGGTCGAGGCAAGCTATATAAGGCGACGACCTGACGTCAGTTGGCAGTTTTATGATAGACGTTATACGTTAATGTTATCAGTTGTATTGTTATTGTTAAAGTTCAGTTGAAATAAATTGTGACACCAAAAACCTGCGTAACATTGGTGACAGCGATATGATACAAAGTAGAAGTTCATGGTAAAAGAGGAGGAAAAGAAAAGACGTAGGAAGAAAGAGAGGAGGAGAGAGTAAGGTGGGAAGAGGAAAAGGAAAAGCGTAGGGAGGAAGAAGAGGAGGAAAAGGAAAAGAGAAGGAAGAAAGAAGAGGAGGAAAAGGGAAGGCGTAGGAAGGAGGAAAAGGAAATGCATAGGAAGGAAGAGAAGGAGAAAAAAAAGGCGTAGAAAAGCAGAGGTAGAAATTATAAATGGCTTAGTACAAATCCAGGAAACCTTCAAGCAAGAGGTTAGTCAGCTTAAAATTAGAGTAGATCTGCTAGAGCAACAACAAGAGCATCTAAAAGCTAATTTAGAACAGCAGCAAGAGCATTTAAAAACTAATTTAGAACAACGAGATTATTTAAAACAACAGGAAAAGGCTAAAGTAGAATTCTAAAGGCAAATTAGAACTGAACTAGTTGAGTTAGAAAGAAGAATTCGTAGCCTAGCTTTGATAAGCAACAAAGAAGATGAAAACACTACCTCGTCCTCATCTGTAATCGAACCAAGCCATATTCAACACCCCGTTTCACAAATCCATACTAGCAAGATCATTCAACCACCCACCCACGGTCAGACAACATGGAAAACGTATCGCCTTTAATTTATTTAAAGCTACAGCTAGCGCCAATGGCTGGGCTGAAAATGAGAAGGCGGCTGTATTGATAGTGTCGCTGCGAGGTCAAGCAGCGTTTTACAATTACTTCCTCAAGAAGAACCCAGTTATTCATCTCTCGTCCAAGCTTTGGAGACAAGATATGGCCAGCAGCATTTAAAATGGGTATTTCAAAGCCTGATAAAAATTCGTAGTCAGAAACATAATGAGAGTCTACAGGAATTCGGGGCTGACATAAGAAGATTGATTCATCTAGCCTATCCACAGGCTCCCAAAGATTTCCAAGAACAAATCGGAATAGAGGCATTCATTGATGGACTACAAGATGCTAAAATGCAGCAAGTCCTTCGTCTACGACATCACAAGACGCTGAAGGAGAAACTAATTGCAGGCCAGGAATATGAAGCGGAAAAACTCATATCCAGATCTTCTCGCGCAAAAATGAGATAAATTAAATCCCAGGAAAGTAAGGAGACCCATACTAATGCTATTCCCCAACCTACGCTCTCGCAAATAATAAATATCCTGCAAAATATACAACGAAATAGCCAAAATAAAAACAGAAGATGCTTTAATTGCGAAAGAATCGGGCACCTTTAAAGAACTTGTAGAAGCAGAGATCGTTTTATAAATAGAGAATCAGAGAATGAAGCCGGGAGGTCACAAAGATCAATCTTCCGAAGCCCGTCACGAAGTCCAACAAGAAATAGTCACAGCAGCTATGCGTGCCTAAGTAGCCAATCACCCACACCGAGCCGGTTTTCTTGCAATAATCAGGAAGTAGAGCATCGTAGAGTCCATATGTATAGCAACGCAGACCTTCTCTCCAGGTGACCCTGTTTAGAACGAGAATGCCAGTACAATAAGGGGCTCGGAGAACGGGAGGAACCATTTGATAAAGTTGCCCTTCGGGCAACCACTATCAAGCCAAAGAGCGGCGAAGAAGAAATCACCCTTGAAAGTCTAAGACAGGGACAGAAGAAAGACAATGACTTAAAGGTTGTCCGAGAATGGCTAGAAAATAAAGTCACACCTACTTGGCAAGAGATAGCCAAATACAGTAGAAATATAAAAGGCTACTGGACCCAGTGGGATTCCCTGTATCTTCACGATGGCCTATTGCACCGGAAGTGGGAGAGCCCCGATGGAGTACATGTAGTCCGCCAAGTGATATTGTTGAGGTCAAAAGTGAGA